AGTAAGACAAGCAGCAGCAACAAAAATTAACAGGAAAGTGTACTTTTCTTTCTATTATAAATAGCTTATCTTGAGACCGAAAGCGTATTCTATCCCTAGAACAGTTCGAACACCTTTCTAAAGCGTGCTAGTCGACCCTTACTCAATCTTCACTTCGTTGCGTTACAGTGACAAAAGTTATTTCGCTTGCGTTACGGGACGTGACGTGCGTGTGGAGTTATTTCTGGGAGTTGTCACTCGTGCGTATCAATTTCAATGAGCAAATGACTCGAGTATGGTTCCGTCTGATCGCTGTGTAGTGGTGCGTTTCGAGGTTTACAGAAACAGAATGAAAAAACACTGAGCGACCTCACGGACAACGACTGTATCAAGAAAGGTATGTAAATTTATAAGCCAAAGCGAGACCAGTTCATTTGCGGTATTTAACCGTGTATCATAAGCGATTGCAAAATCCCTTGGTTCGAACTCTGATGAGAATTTCATGCCGCGGTCGTCAGTAAAAATCTCTCAGGACGGCAATGGACCCTACACCAACAGTAATTCAACAATTGGTCGCTAGAACTTACAATAAATCCTGCGGTATTTTGGGCATTTTTAAAAAAATATAGTTCGTCACCGCAGAGATCGTGCTGCTTAGCACGGCTTTGAAACGCTTCTATTTTGCCTTTATACGTTTAAGTCTTGCCTCAAACCTTTCGTTCGTAAACAGGCGGCATGGCTTCTTTTTTGGTACAAGAAAATTAAGACTGCAAAATGAATTTCGGTTCCGCATATATCGTGACATTTATTTCCAAATATGTTTGCGTGACAAATAAGGGGTCGTTTATTTTGTTGTTGCCGTTTTTCTTTACCGTTTTTTGTTGTTGTTGGATTCGTATTTTATTTGTAGATTTTGGGATTGAATATTTTCAGATTGTGCATTTGCAATGTTTCTAACTGGATAATCGTGGTCGCCAACGCGACGATCTGTTTCTGCTGAAACAGATCTTGAATTCCGGAAAAACGTCACGTCTGCTCTTGCAGGTAACTCGATCTCATCCCTCCCATCGAAATGATACCAAAAGCCAAACATAGTCAAGAAGCAAAAGCCATGCCAAAATGCTACCGAACAGATTTACTTTCAATAAGAAAACAGCAAAACCAAAAGTTCGTCCAACATAAAGACTGCTTTTGCAAATCACAAGTATGTGTCGAACTGTGGCCTGTCATGCCCCCGTCATGCCTTGATTTTTAAAAAAGCGTAGTCTCCAGCTCCCTCGCAGCCGCTTTTGTCTCGTCACGCAACGCTCCGTGACGAAACAAAAACCGCTGCGAATCTCGGTTTTCACTGTCACGCAATCAAAAATAAAATTGCAAACCATTAAATACAGAAAGTCCAGAGTATAGGAAATAAAAGAAGATAAATATGCAAAAGGCCTCGCCTAGAATCAGGTCTGTGCGATATTTCATATGCGAGATATAGGGAAAAACGTTTTATCCAAATTTATAAAGCTTCGTATGGAGATGCCATAATTGTGTCCCTTTGTGGGGCACAAATATGGCCGCCCAAAACCAACAGAAACATCTGTTTTTGAGTTTTCCTACTGATGCATGAATTCATCGCTTGAAAAACTCTTAAAGGATTAAAGTGATATTAAAATTTTATTCTGAGACAAGGAATGTTTAGATAGCAAAATCTCCCAAAATTGGTAATGTTTTTAACCCACATAAGAGCCTTCTTGGCCGCCAGCTNCGCAATCAAAAATAAAATTGCAAACCATTAAATACAGAAAGTCCAGAGTATAGGAAATAAAAGAAGATAAATATGCAAAAGGCCTCGCCTAGAATCAGGTCTGTGCGATATTTCATATGCGAGATATAGGGAAAAACGTTTTATCCAAATTTATAAAGCTTCGTATGGAGATGCCATAATTGTGTCCCTTTGTGGGGCACAAATATGGCCGCCCAAAACCAACAGAAACATCTGTTTTTGAGTTTTCCTACTGATGCATGAATTCATCGCTTGAAAAACTCTTAAAGGATTAAAGTGATATTAAAATTTTATTCTGAGACAAGGAATGTTTAGATAGCAAAATCTCCCAAAATTGGTTATGTTTTTAACCCACATAAGAGCCTTCTTGGCCGCCAGCTAAATGCCGCGTCACGCAAAAGCCTAGAAATTCAAACGTCCTCTATCGCAAAAGGAAGAACTCTTTCGAACCAAAACTTTGTTTAAATAAAGGTGTTTAGGTGCTGTCATACCTCATGAAACTCAGAAACTCAGAAGAAATGATAGTTTCTTAGTTTGAATTTTGGTGACGTCATGTGAAAACCGAGAATTAAAGGGTGAAGCTTAATTTTTCTTGACACTTCTGGTGAATCATTATGTGACAAAGCAGTATTGCATGACTCTAACTGGTGCTTTTGTTTTATATGGGTTGCTCTGATTAATCTAAAAGAAGTTGCTAGTCTCTTTTCTCTCAACTTAAATCGTAGCTAATTGCTTTCCTTTAAAAAGAATTACATTTCTGTTTTGGTAGTGATTTGATAAATAACAAAAGTATCCATAATAGTTGTCAGTTAGCAAGTGGGGGGCCTATGATGGAACAGCCTGTGTTCAGGTTTCTTAGTCACACACAAGCTATAGTTAGCATTTCATTTGGGGAGCAAGGGGAGAGGGGGGGGGGAGCAGGATCCTTGAAGCCAGAGCCAGGGGCAGCTAGTGCTTGTCAGGGTGAAAAAAAATGGGCAAAATTGCTACAGGCAAAGTTTACAACAAACTTGTCATGGGTGGATTTAGGGGTTGTTCACGGCCCTCCCTTATTATTATTTTTTTAAGAATTCTTAGGAAAATAATAGTATCTATATAGCTGGCAAGTGTCCTGCCCCACCCCCTACAGCAACCTCGTCATGGGTGGGTTAAGGAGCAGTCAGAGGTGACTTTCTGTGGAATTTTTTAGTAATTTTTAAAGAATTCTTAGTAAAATAACTAGTATAGTATTAGTAAAATAGCTAATATCTAAATAGCTGCCAAGCGTTCATGATGATGCTGACGAAACATTTTACTGACCTGTTTTAGTTTTAGCCGCGTTATTGAGCTGGACTGACTAAAATTCAACGGTCTCTTGTGTCAATATTTATTAATAATAATCCTGTTTCAAGTTTTTTTTCGTACTTTTTTTCGGTTTCAGACGGAAGATTCGGTTGAGCTGAGAACTGAAATACAGAATTTTCTTTCAACAGGACGAAATACTGGTGTTTAGAAAATACCCTTGACGACTTTCTTCATTAATTCCAACTGCCTTTCAAAAAATGACAACTGCACCAAGCAATGGAGACTCCCTGCAAATGACGTGCAGCACAGCCAAAGAAATCGCCAGAATTTCTGAGGGAGTGGTCTTTTTTCTTATATTCCTTGGAGTCGTCATTAATGCAACTGTCTGTGGAATCATGATGCGCAACAAGTGCGTGTTAAAGAACTTGTCGAACTTTTTCGTGTTTCACTTGTCCGTGGTGGATTTGATTTTTCGCTTGACTACAGTGGGGCCATTGATATACCTGAGTACAGTGTATACCAGAGAAGAGGCTAGCATTCCTTGCAAGCTCTTTCATTTCTTCTCTGCCATTTGTGGTGCGGCTTTTTTTGTCACGCTTGTTGTCATCTCCGTCGACGTGTACCGTGATGCGGCTTCTCCCTTAAAAGGCATTATGTCACGCCGCACGCCATTCTTGGTCTTACTCGGTGTATGGCTATATGCAGCTATGTGCTCTGGACCTGTCATGTACAGCGCTGAGAGTATCCTCTACACCGAAATCCCCGAAATGAGCTCAAACGTGACTCAAGAACTAAGAAACTGCAGCGTTCCCAAGTTGTGCGATTATCTAAGAAATTGGGGCGGACAGCTCTCTTCGACCCTCTTTTTTGTCATGGCATTGCTAGCACCCCTAGCTGTCATAGTAACCCTGTTTTTCATCACCTATGCCTACCTACACAGAGATAAAAGCAACGGTACCATCAGTAATGAGACCGCCGGCGTCAAGCGGAAGGTGACACGCATGTTAGGGGTCCTGTATCTGGGTGTGGTCCTGTGCTGGGGACCCAACATCGTAATCACCATGTTACGCTCGTATGACGTCATGGATGATGCTCCCTCGGATGTTGTGCTGATACTGACGATTGCCTCGGAGATGACGAAGTTCTTGAATTCGTTATTCAATCCCTTGATTTTTGCCTATTATATACCCAACTTCAAGAAGGACTGGTTTGGATTGTGTTCTTGTTGCAAGTGTTGCCGTGATGACGAAGTCCAGCATCCACCTCTTCGAAAACCACACCTCCACATGGTGCAGTCTACGGAATACCGTGATAGTCAAACGATGATGTAAATATAACCTAACACATAAGTAAAACAGTAATGTCCAAAACTTCTCAATCCTTAGCGTGAAAAAGTAGCTGACACTTCCGCGACACCAACTGCACCGCTTTCCCCGCGAAATGATGCCGGAGAAACGAGCGTAGAAATTCGATACTGATGACGCGTTGCTACCCAGATCCGGGTAGTGCGTCTGATTGGTCGTGCCTCGTGGGATTTGCTTCAACCAATCAGAAACACTACCCAGATCTGGGTAGTCACGCGTCATCACTATGGAATTTCTGTGCTCGTTTCTCAGACGTCATTTCGCGGGGAAACCAGTAGCCTGCGAACAGCAGACGCATTTCCGGTCGTTTTGGAGCTCGAGATCGCAGACGCTATTTTTTGGAGGGAGAGAAGCGACGACCGGAAATGCGTCTGCTGTTCGCAGGCTAGGAAACCAGTGGTGTCGTCGCGAAATGTCGGCTGTTTTCTCAAGCTATTCAAGCTCAAAAGTGGCGAATTTCACAATTACATTACAAAATTTCCAAATGTCATTTTGTAAAATGCTGAAAAACCATTAAAGAACCAAGTGAAAGTACAGCCAAAGAGGTTTCATTTGAATGATCACACCAAATGATTTTGTTCACAGACTCAAAAGTTAGAACAACCCGGTACAGCATAACGTATCAGCATAAAGTATCACAGGAAAGTACTCTTAAGTAGCTTTTATTTGAATAGTCACACCATAGGATTTCATCCACAGACTCAAAAGTTAGAACCACCTTGTACAACATCATAAACAGTACCACAGGAAAGTACTGCTCAGTAAGCTTTCATTTGAATGGTCACACCATAGGATTTCGTCCATGGCCTCAAAAGTTCGAACCGCTTTTCAAAACTTCATCATTTACTCTGGGATTCTAGCTCCTAACCAACCACGGCGACATCGAGAACTTCAAAAGCAATTAATTCGTTTTGGATGAGCAAAACAACTGTTTGGTTTATTTCTTCGACGTCCATCGTTCTACGACGACGAGGAACTTCCTAAAACGACGTTTTGTGAAGGACGTGAACACAGTCTACGATTTTTGTTCTCTATTTTCGAACTTGGATGCTGTCCTTAAGAATTCAACTCTAGGAGAATTCGCCCACATCTGATATATTTGGAGAGGCCAATTTAACGCAATGTTAAGTTTAAGAGAACGCACATTCATTTTTTTAGTGACGTTTTCACTGTCGTCATCATCCGTCGTGGTTGGCTGAGTTTCCTAGTAACTTCAGTCGGAACCCCGTTACGTTCCTAGAACCAAAAGAGATGATTATCGCACCATAGTGCTTAACAACGGAAATTTAATCAAATCACTCGCGACCATACGATTTGGGGGATGGGTTAGATTGGATCCCGGGTGGTACTTCCTATAATGGCCTAACACGGGTAGGCTTCGTCCGAAAGGGGTACCTTTTTCAGCCTTCAGGTATATAAGAAAGGCTGGGGAAATCTGACATTTTGGTAGGTAAAAAGGATCAAAAGGGCTAACAGATGTATTTTATGGCCGTAATTAGGGAGCTTAAGCAACCACGTTTTTGAGCGACGCACGTCAACCGGAAGTGGCCTTTTTTCATTTTCAAACTGTGGTTTCGTCCAAATTTTCAGTCAAATCGCCTCTATAACAGTAAAGAAGCTAAGAAATGCAAATTGTATGTCGTCAAGCCATGTTAAGAGGGAAAATGCCTCACTTCCGGTTGACGTCCGTCGCTCAAAAACGCCTTTGCTTAAGCTCCCTATTAACAATTATTCCTCGAGCCCGAATGGGCTCTGAGTCAATATCCCATGAGGCCGAAGGCCGAATGGGCCATTGACTCAGAGGCCATGAGGACGAGAGGAATAATTGTTTTAGTAAAATCCAACTAGTTGGTCAAAAATAACGAGAATAAAAAACATTAAGCTAGTTAAAGCTAGACTTTAATCCTTTTTTGCCGCCAAAAAGCCCGCGCTTTTCGCTACTAGTGGGCTATAACATACAGTCTAGTAGTAGCTCAACCAATCAGAACGCAGCACACACATGAAGATAAAACCTTATGGATTTAAGGGTAGAAGTTCATTTGCACTTCTTTCTAGAAAAGCTAACATAATCACGAAGTTCTTGCACCGATGGTGCATTCCAACAAGGTTCGAACGGTTTCCAGTTTTCTTGGCGATCCTCACCTTTGGGACATAGCCACATCGTCAACATACACTTGAGCAGAGTGGAATTTGCATCCGCACGAGAAGCTCGTGATTTTCAGGATAACGTGATTTTTTGTAGAAAAAAAAAATTATTGATTTGCCTTTATTCCTATGCTTATTATAATCAACGTATACCCGTAAATCCTTGAATCCTCGTCGTTCATGGTTCAGGGCACCCACTACCTTGGAAACACTTTTTAGCCTATCCTTCAAGATCTCTAGCAATGCATTCTAAGCCGCGCTAAAAAAATTTGTATCTGTTTGGTCATCCTAGAGGAACTTGAGTCTTCTGTATTATATCCCCGAAAATTTTAGGCGCAGTTTAACGTATGACGAAAGTGATTCCTCCCTCCATCACATTTTTGAATTCGAACATTTTAGAACATCTTGGGGAATTTAGTCAGATGAGCTTCGAAAAATTGTGCATGAATGGAAGGGTTATCTAGAAAGTTTTAGCCGCCCCCCAAAATTAGAAAATTCTAGGCAATATTTGCTCCTCCGAACAGAAATTTTTGGTTGCCCCTAATGGTATACTTTTAAAGCAACAAGTCTTTTTCTTTTACGTTTATCACTAATACCGCGGTAAGGCAGGCGAATTAACGTAGATTTTGGTTTTTAAATAAGGTTATAAATCATGGTTTAAAAGAAAGAGCGTGAGGTCAGCCTGTACAAGGATTAACTTAGATTTTGGTATGAATCAAAGGTTATTGTTTTGTGAAGAAAACTGAAATGCGACCCTAAGCCAGGATTAGAGTTTCTAGGTATGGGGTCAAAGTTAAACCACATCTTCAAAACATGAATTTCCGTTTCTACACGATGACCGCGGTTAGGCAGGCGCATTAACGTAGATCATATGTTTGGTTTTTAAATAAGGTTACAAATCATGGTTTTAAAAGAGAAAGCGTGAGGTCAGCCTGTGCCAGGATTAGAGTTTCTAGGTATGGGGTCAAAGTTAAACCACATCTTCGGAATATTATTTTCCGTTTCTACCTCTAATCTAATAGCGTTCGATGTGAAAAATTCACATACACAAAAAAATAGATAGCACCTTGTAAAAGTTGTACCAAAAAGGTTTCATTTGAATGGTAACTATCATGATAGAATTTGGTCGACAGAATAAAAAGTTAAAGTTTCGTTAAAGTGAAAAATAATCTCGCAATGACTGATAGTCAAGCAGTGGAAGGGTCAAGGTCCCATTTTATCTTGTTTGTTTTTAAAAAAGTATACCAAAGTACAGTCGAACCCCGCTTCACGGACACCCGCTCAACCCTTTAAGCCCTATGAGTGATCAGCATCAAATTTCTCCTTGTAATATCAATACTTCGTAAAACAGAGTGGTCATGAGAATTACGGACATGATCACCCAAGATTTGCTTGATCATGATATTTTATCAACTTCTCCCACTACTTCTGTGGGAAATGAATAGAGGCAACAAAGGAGAATTCAAATTTTGATCTTAGGGTTTAAAGGGGTAATACACCTCGTTATTACGGACAGTTTTCTTTGTCCTTAGCGATCCTTAGCCCTTACATTTTCTATAAATTCAGCCCGCTTAATACGGACACCCCGTTAATCGGACACTTTCTAAAGTTCCGCGAAAGTGCCCGGTTCAAGTTGACAGTATTAGTGTATACTAAAACAAAAAACTGACTTCCTTTACAACAGCAGTTACTAATTATTTGACCCTACTCCGAGTCAATAAAAAAGTTTCTTTTTTCTTTATCCCAATCTTTTGAGCTTTGCTCGTAGAGAACGATTGATAGGACGATTCTCTATCAGTTTTCAGCACCACCTCTCAGATGGCTTCCACATGGGGCCTATGATCTATTTTAGGTGAATGCGTATCTCTAGTCGTTGCTATTTTTAAGTCTACAATTGTAAGGGTCCCTGATTGCGGTTTGGAGACTTGGAACAAAGATCTCTTTGATGAAGTCTGAAAAGCTTTTTGAAGTGAAAATAAACGTTGTGTCTGCTGAATCCGCCCACGGATTACCTTCTATTGCACGGTTTATTTTAGTTTGTGCTTATGGCTAAAATACCCGGGGGGGTACTCCCGCGAATTTTGGATGGGGGTGTGCCGCGAAGGTTCGTGAACCCTAACCCTATTTAAGGACTAAGAAAGCGAAAACTGATACCCTTTTTAAGGCCCAAAGCCGAAAAATGGCACCCTATTCAAGGAAAAAACAAACATGTGGCTTGAAGAGACGTTACGTGTATCTAGAACCTTTGTTGCAAAATNATTAACGTAGATTTTGGTTTTTAAATAAGGTTATAAATCATGGTTTAAAAGAAAGAGCGTGAGGTCAGCCTGTACAAGGATTAACTTAGATTTTGGTATGAATCAAAGGTTATTGTTTTGTGAAGAAAACTGAAATGCGACCCTAAGCCAGGATTAGAGTTTCTAGGTATGGGGTCAAAGTTAAACCACATCTTCAAAACATGAATTTCCGTTTCTACACGATGACCGCGGTTAGGCAGGCGCATTAACGTAGATCATATGTTTGGTTTTTAAATAAGGTTACAAATCATGGTTTTAAAAGAGAAAGCGTGAGGTCAGCCTGTGCCAGGATTAGAGTTTCTAGGTATGGGGTCAAAGTTAAACCACATCTTCGGAATATTATTTTCCGTTTCTACCTCTAATCTAATAGCGTTCGATGTGAAAAATTCACATACACAAAAAAATAGATAGCACCTTGTAAAAGTTGTACCAAAAAGGTTTCATTTGAATGGTAACTATCATGATAGAATTTGGTCGACAGAATAAAAAGTTAAAGTTTCGTTAAAGTGAAAAATAATCTCGCAA